CATTTGTCCGTGTGGCCAAATTTCTGGTCTACAGCCAACACATACACACACACACACAAACACATATACAAACATACACTCGCAATATTCGTAGAGCTCAGGTCTCAGCAACTCTTTTGCTTTCGTTCGGCCTGTCCGGGCGTCATGACGGCCGCCAAGACGCCGTTAAAGCTTGTCTACCGAGTACAAAACGTGAACTTTGTTGCCTGGACCATGGACGGACAGCGAATGAATTGTGGAAGGGCAATGAAGATGGTTGTGTCGTTATCAAAAAAGACTACAAGGCCAGAATCGCTTGGAGCCCAATCTCTGAGGCAATGTGCAATTTGGTGTTGTTGGGAGCAGTGGAAGGGTGAGAAGAGGTTGCGGGGGATGGGGCCTGATGTGGTCATCCTCTTGGCTCAACGGTGCTTTGTTCTGGAGAGCCGGACGGAATGAAGACATGCCTAAAGGGGGGTGAGCGGTCGTAGAGGACTCTGGAGAGTGGCTTGTGAGCCGGCAAGTTCGGACGCCTCTCACCCCGACCGGTCGGTCGTGTTCGAGTGCACAATTGCAAGCATATGTGTGTGTGTGTGTGTGTGTGCGTGAATGGTAGAATACAAGTGGCTCGGCAACCAAATGCGAAATCTACAGACAAACCGGCCCCCGCCGTTCGTCAGGCCGGGCCCGTCCGGTCCGGTCGGGTCGGGTCGGGAGCCTCGGCCAAGTTTGCTGCGTCGAGTCCCTCGTGTCACTTTCAACGGAGGCCTTAGTGCACATGTGCGGGCAGTCGGGCAAGCAGAAGAAGACTCCCCAACGAGCAATGCATTAGAGCTGAGTAGTGAGCTCTACTCTTGGCTTCCGGACTGGAGGCTGTTATGCATTCTTGGTCAGAAACAATACGACTCCACAATTAATGAAGTGCTCTTCTTCGGCTTAATAAGAGTAGATTTTTTTTCGGAAACTGAGCAGTCCACATCGAAGGCCCCTCTTCTGCGGTCTAGCCTTGACGAAGGTTGACATAGTTACTGGAATTTCTAGAACAAACCGGACTCTCTCGCAACAGTACAGGTACCGGAAGCGTTTTAGAAGGCAAAAAGTGAGGCATTGAGTTTCAGGCAAGTAGATCACATGCGCTAATTAAAGAAAGACTAGTTTTTGAAACTCCCAGTAAATTTTAAATAAAAACTGCATAGAAGTGGGTTGACCTCGTTGTCGCAACTTGGTCTTGTTGTCAGAGCGATTCAGTAGAACGCACCTAGTCCGAAGTCGTCTGCCAGAGTAGTTGTCATGATTCCCA